AATGACATCTTTATCACAGCCAACCCGGATGCTAATGACATGTTTATCACAGGCAACCCTGAATTTAATTTTGACTTAATTATAGACAATCCAAAGCAGTTCTGAATCTAACCCATCACTATACAAAATGTGTGTGTTTAGTTCCCAGTCTCGTGTATGTAAAACCCACCCAACTCTGTATATATAACTTTATCCATGCATACAGCATACACCCAACTCTGATGTGTACTTAGCTCCAGTTTGTGTATACAGAGTCTACACATACCTGATTTGTATTTTATTACAGCCAGTGATGGTAATACTCCTAATCCTACTCCTACTTCTACCCCTACTTGTATATATCAGTACTTAATAGTACTGAATATATAAACTAAGGTCAAATTAACTGATGAGGAGGGATCAATTACTGAAATTACAAAAGCAATATGTCTATAACCCGTCACATTATACATTGTTTTGTAAGTTTATTGATATACTCTTTTGTTACACAATCAGTTTAAATAGGTATGACGACAGCACATGCATTCAAATTGATTGTAATCACCTGTTCCATGATGAATATCTCAGACAAAATATTTGGGTTGATCCGATAAAGTGGTTTTGCGAGGGTTGGTGGTGTATGAGGAATGTGGAAGGTACACAAGCTGTTGCAGTGATGTATTTAAATATATTTGAGTGAAAAGAATTGCAAACATTGCATCTATATTTACTTTACAACTTCCTGTTTTAACGCAAAGAAAACGAAATCTGAAATTTTAAAGATGATTTCCTGGTTACCTATTTGGCTTTGCATTACATTAGGTAATACAAACAGACAGTGTTTAAACCACAGACGTTTTGTGTAAAACGACTTTTGATTGGTTGTAGATTGACCTATCAAAATCATACTGCGTTATTGTATGTTTTTGTGTTTTTCGTCTTTACGAACATTCATGTATTTGTAAATATTACTTGTATGATATTTTATATATTATATATATATATATATATATATATATATATATATATATATATATATATATATATATATATATATACATATTGCATGTGCTAACGTATCTGCGTTACATTGGTTATAGAAGATTATAGAACGTATAAGGGTGAGCTAAATTTAAGAATATAATGGACAAACTAGCAGATAATAACATATTATTATAGCTAGGAACATATCATCAGGAACTATCATAAGATAGAGAGAGAGAGGCATGTAAACAGGTAGATATGTAAAGACAAAAACAAAACACACAAACTAAAAGTTATTTGGTACAACTTTTAATTATAGCATTTTTAGTTACAAGTCTATTTTTAGATTCAATTTTAGCACTTTTGCGGTAGCTGCTCTCTCCCCATTATGTAACCCAAAGAAAGCGTTTGATTTTTTCATCTTGTCACGGAAATGGCAATTAAAACTTTCTAGAGGGGTCGCACATAGGCTAAGTATCATTGTCTATATAAAGTGTTCGTTTTGTTTTCTGTTTTAATATGGCAGGTGGGGTAGGGGGGGGGGTAGCGAACGGTGTGCATTATTCAGCAGGGATATGGGACAGGAGATGCCTGGACAAAATATAATTATGTCTAAAGGCCATCAAGATAGCAAACATAGGCCGTCGTCTACCAACGCCACACCTTACGTAAATTGTAGGCTACGGTACAGTACGGTACGTTAGGTGCGGTGCGATGCGATACGCTGACATGACATGACATGACATGACATGACATGACATGACATGACATGACATGACATGACATGACATGACATGACATGACATGACATGACATGACATGACATGACATGACATGACATGACATGACATGACATGACATGACATGACACGACACGACACGACACGACACGACACGACATGATGATGTCAATACCACCCCCCCCTCCAACAATGTTGCATTTTAAGTTTAATGTCACTCCTCTCAGCCCTACTGTTATGTTACTTTAAATGAAAAAAAAACACATTCTTTTTGACAGTACGATTTACCCCATTCGTATCACCTAAATAGTCTAACTCGATGCGGACCACACTCCCAGTACTCGTTTCGTGTCGTCACTGTCCAAATATGTTATATTTGATCAGTTTTTTATCAATTGATTTACTTTCTCGGCAAAGTTTAGCGCCTCTCCCAGTGTTAAATTAATCCGATCTGTTTTCCTCTTAGAGGTCATCCAAAAACGACGTCACACCTCAGCCTACAACCCCCCCCCCCCCCCACCCATCAAAATTGCAGTTGAATTTTTTTTTAAAAACATCGATATTTTTTTCAAAGTCTTGTCTGAACTCTGACAAAATAGAGTATTTTAATCTATTCCTATGTAAGTTTATTAAAACAGTTTTCTAAGACGCAAAATAATGGCTAAAACTCGTTTTCTAGCATTGCTTTTTTTATAATGCCAAAGTGTGACGTCACACCATCCACCCCCCCCCCCCTCTCTCACCGTCATCACACACCGGCACAAAATTACGGACTCCCTTCCCCCTACGAGTGTGACGTCATTTATGGACGACCCCTTAGGCTACCATTACACTAAATATACTCATGTTGTTTACATTAAAGCATAATATTTTCTTACAGTACAAACAGAAATTGCTTAAATTAAGCAGGAATTTATTTTGGAATAAAAATGTGCATTGCTGTTTATATAAATAACAAAATGAGATTTATTATACCGTAAATACAGGTACTATACTTTTGACTTTCTCTTATAGAGAAAGTCTTGTAATCGAGGAAAAAAATCAAGATTTGTTTCGAATATCGACGTTTTACAGATCCCTCAATCAGAAAAACAGATTATTCTTGTCCGTATGTATGTGTGTGCGTATGTGTGTGTGTCTGTGTGTCTGTGTGTGTGTGTGTGTGTGTGTGTCTGTAATCACGATAACTTGAGTGTTGTTAAAGCTAGGTTGATGAAATTTCATATATAAATATTATATCAAAATCGTAGATGAGTAACAACTTTTATGCGATTTCCGATAAACGGAATTGGAACTTATTCTACTTTTAATTTTTCAAAAGCCTATAACTTGAGTACTATTTCATAGAGATAAATGAAATGTCACGTATAAGTAAAAGATATAATTTTCTGCCATCTGTCAAATTTTGAATTATTTCCGTTTATCGGAAGTAGTAATTTACGCTATTTCCGATGTCTCAAAAAACGCATGTGAATTTATAAAATACTACTAATATTCCGCACTATTATGCACAATTTGTTTGGCGTTTACTTGGTGTGCAATTTTTTTGTCCTACAAAGCTTTATTTTATTTTGAAAAGTTTAAGTAGTTAAAGATGGATTAAAAATAATGTCTAGATCTATATGGTGATGAGCCATCTGCCGTAATGTCAGGTTAGAGTAATTGAGAAAGTCTAGGGGAGATCACTCCCGGTTTATTTTAAGCAAAATAGTTTAGTCAGCAACTATTCACATGTCACTTAAAATTTATTTTCAAAGATTATTTGAATTTTTTCAAGAATACAAAAATGTAACTGAATGGTAGACAAATTTATTCAAAAAAGTCGTAGCAATTAAAATCATTGAATAGAAGAAAAAAATAACTTCAAATGTTAAATGTTTACTTTTTATAAAACACAGTATTTCAAAGCAGAAGTTGTGCATAATATTTACAAACACCCTAGTATGATATGTTTTAAGAAAACAAAATATTTTTTTATGTCAACCAAACACATATTTACACTTTAATAAGTAACAAATGAGCACTCAATATTAAATAAGTGGGTATTAATTGAAAATAATGTTTGAAAGAAACTAATTAAATTCACATACTGTATTTGTAACATATGTTATTAATTTAAGAATAGGATTGCATTTAAATTAAAAGAAGCGTGATACAAAAATGACATCGTAAAAATAGAAGCAGGATTACATTGTAACTGTTCCAGATTTCTTGAAGTGTACGTCTTTCCCTATATAGATTTGCTATGAAAAAAAGATGTTGTCTCGAGGCGTCGGATGTATCTCAATGAGGTAGCTGACATGAACAGTAGATGGATTTTACAGGTTGGTTAGCTCTGTGATTCAGTGAAAGCAACTTTATTGTAAACACGTTTTTTTTATATATGTAAGTTTCTGGCATAAATTTCCCATTTTAGAGGTGTTTAGTTCACTTTAGGCAGTGAGTGGTTTCTCATAAACAAAGGCTAAAGTTTACGATTTTCTTAGTACATTGTTATAAATGCTTTATGCAAAATTCGATTGTTATTTATTTCTGCAACAACGACTAAAAATAGAAAGATTTAAATTATTTCGTATATTTCTGCCATCATATAATAAATCGCAGACTTTTTGTCAGTACGATACAATTATGCTTTCTATACTACTCTTTTAACAGACATATGACGTTTATTAAACTAGATTATTTTATTTCCATACTTGTTTATCCAATAAATGTATTTAGAATAATGAAAATACAAAATTATTCAATACTATTCTTTTAAATATACTATAAATATATGTAGGCCTAATATTTTTTAAACACTGAAGTTTAACAATCGATTTTAATTTATAATTTCGGTTACACCCAACCTAATACTAACCAAAACTTCAATCTTTACGTAACACAACAACAAAAAATTGTACGGATTGTTGACAAAAGTCACTTGAAAATTTGTTATAACAAGACAAGAATAAACAAAATCTACTAATGTGTGAAATTTGAAACAATATTTTGACGAAATAAACAGTAATACACATTAAATCAACAAAAAGTTAATTATAACATACTTAGATAACACAAAAAGCACTCTTGGCCAAGGTTCTCATATTTACATTTTTCCATTCAAAACATAGCCATTCTTTGATAATTCATAATATACTGTGATGAAGCAATATAAATATAATAATATTTAAGAAACTATGCCAGCCACGAAACAATATAATTGGGTCTGGCAAAACTCAGAAGTTTCGATTAACAAAGTTATTGTTACCGAGCAGTTTTCATGTAGTGTTTTCATTTTCTAAACATTTTTGTTATTAAGTAGGTCTTATGTTGAAACGACCTTTTTTAGATAAAGAATTATAATTTACCCCCAACTATGAGGCTGCTAACATTAATAAAGGTAACTAATGCATGCGGATCATTTCATCATTTCTTGAACGAACGATGCGTTATCGTAGATAGAATATTGATTTGCATATACGTTTTCTTCTGCATCTAAATTCGCACACAATTCCCCCTGTGTTGGTGGTTTGTTGATTGACAAAGGCCGTACTTCCTCATAAACATGTTCTGTAACAGTGCAACATACATGGGGTAGAAATTAATATTAAAATTTATAGAAGTTACACAGGCTTCGAATTTAAATCACTATCTTGGTACGTTGCAGAAAACTATATCGAATGACTACAGATATCACGAACTGGGTTAACTACCTTTTATCCGTATTCCCCAGACGAATAGCAATATGTCAAATACCCCTACTCAAAACTCCATACAAATTACCCCCTGTATACAATACTTGCAATACAAAGTATCGGTAAAGTAAAATACTGAGGATTTTATAGACTGATTGAAAAGGCCCACCTAGTACGAAATCAAATAAATCGCATCCGTTAAACATCCCAGCCCTAAACCTAGATTGTGAGAGCTACGTTCAACGTTAGGATTAGTGTACATTTTTAATCTACAGTAGGTAACGTATGCATATCGGTCGTTAACTCCGATTTCAGCCTGCTTTTCTTTTTGGATTTGCTTCTATAATCTTTATCCAACCCAGAAGAAACTGCAAGAAATTGTCTCTCCTAGAAAAGTTAACAAATCTCATCCGCCCGGGGACTCAAACTCAAGACCATGAGCTTTACCGACTCGACCAAGTCGACATCGACCAACCAGTGTAGTGTTGTATGTATTTCAAATGTTGAAATAAATACTCTTGACGTACGGTTATGCCAAGTCGACATCGACCAACCAGTGTAGTGTTGTATGTATTTCAAATGTCGAACTACATACTCTTGACGTACGGTTATGCAGGTGCCCGTTCCACGGCTACACCACGCAATAACTTAAAGACTAATTAATTCAACATACGTTGATTGTCTACACCAGGACAATTTTGGTGGGAGTTCCCACCTTTAAAATATAACTTACCTTCAGATACTTTGGGATTAGGTGTGTAAACATAATTGTTTCGTGCACGGGATGTTGAGGCGACAGGTCCATCAGTACATACACTGTGGATTATTGTCCGTGTGGTTAGTACACTCACAACACACATTATATTATTTCTTTAGTTCCTCATCACCAAAACACATGTACATATATTTGCCTAAGGTGTAGGCCTATTTGTTTATCTTTCAACCCATCGTATTAGATTAGATGCAATAGTTTTTTTCTGTTTTCTTCATATAAATTCTGATTTCAAACCTTGCTCTAACAATTGCATAATCCAATACAGTTGCTCTAAATTGAACAGAATGTTAACAAAATAAAACTCGGATGTGAACCCCATTTCCCCCCCCCCCCCTCCGCCCCATAGAAAGGCTACCCCCTCCCCCCCCCCCCGAACGAAACGGAATTTATATAGAAAACATATACTTCTACCAAAGTCCGCCCCTCCCCGCGAAAATATCAATTGCGCCCCCCCCCCCCCTCTCCGGAGAAAAAAGTCTGGAAGAAACACTGCAAAACACGTGTAAGTATATTTGCTTAAGGTGTATTAATAAGATTTGTTTATCTCTTAACATATCGTATTCTATGCAATAGATTTTATTTTTTCTTCACATTACTTCTGATTTCAAACCTGACTCTAACGATTGCTTAATCCTATACCGTTGTTCTAAACCAGGGGTCTCCAAACTACGGCCTGCGAAGTCCTCTCATCCGGCCCGCGGATATCTTTTTGTCCACGGAAAAAAAAAGTTTGTTGGAGGTGGCTGGGGAACTATGCCCAGAAAATTCAAAACAACTTGAAAATGTAGTTTTGGGTGCTAATTCAATTGCCCACCGTGTTGCAGACATTGGTGAAAAATTGTGACTCAAATAGCGAAAAATACAAGCAGCAAGTTTTGCTATTTTTTAAATTGCAATGGATGAGTCGCTAGACAGCTGTTCTACCTCTTAACTGTTTATGTCCATTAGAGGTGCGGGTGAAGACATGAACCTTAACACAAGAGCTGTCTTCCCTCATAACATGTATATCACTGTTGTCGGAGATGATATATTCAATGAGTTAAAAAACCATTTGATGATTATAACTTGGACTGGACTAACCTTGCTGTCATAGCCACACCCCCTACTTCCATCTGTGTTTTGGGTCGAGTTTGTTTTCTCCGTATGATGACGACAATAACCACGACGATAATAACAAGAAACACCAGCGCTCCAACGGATGCTCCTGCTACTAATCCAACGTTTAACTCATCTGGAAAATTCATTTAAGACTATGTGTGGTGTTTAGAAAACAAATATCCGCAAAAGCAAAGAAATTCTTTCCCACATCAAACGTAATTTATCGCGCCTGCTTGGCTGTTCTGGTTTGTATTACACATGTTATCTGTTTTAATACAATGCTACTGCATACTTTTAGTTTTTTGTGTGGCAAATACGTGAGATTTATTTTACGGTAAAAATACTGACTAGTAGGCTCGAAAGATTGTAATCGGCTCTTAAACTGTGCTTCTATACATTTTTTTTGTATTTTGAGTGTCATTGTTAGATGAGATACAAATGGTTGGACGGATTGAAATATTTTCAGTCAAATGTAATGTAGGACACATTACTTAACAGGAAATTAAATTTTGCAAATAATCCTGAAAATTTGTTCTTGTTAATTTGTTTTTAAAAGTATTTCGTAATATAGATATTTAAAAACAATATCGTGTATGTACTTTAAAGTAACATATTAGTTAAGTTAATTACATTTGTTGCAGTAATAATACATTTTTTGCCATGTTTTATAAAGATGCGAAAAAAGTGCTTGAAATACACATTTATTAGTCGTCTTTAGAATAAACTAGACTATCTGTTATCTAGTTAGATAACTGTGGGTATTGGAGGGTCATCCATAAATGACATCACGTCTGCCAGCACTGATCATCCCAAAATAACCAGACCCTACATTCAAAAAGACGTTTTTTTATATTTTAAAAACTCTACTAAACTCTGCTTCACCTGCTCAGTGCCCCGCCAAGTCTCAGACATGTTTGTATTTTAAAAAAACGATTCCGGCCGAGCATGGCTCTGACCACACTATCCCTTTATATGCTGAGAACATAGAAACAGGTGAACTCTACTTCACCTGCCCTGTGCCCCGCGAGGTCCTGATAGTCAACCTTATCTTTCACATATAGGCCTTAAGAAAAAATAATTGAAAACGTAAAAAAAATATTTAAAAAAAAATTAAAAATAAAAATAAAATTGTTCTAAACTTTTATAATTAATGTGGTTAATCTACCAATGAATATACAAATAAATTAATTAACGGCTTTTAATTAGTTTGTAATTAACAGTGTGTTTAAGAAAGAACAATATTTACCACCCAAAATCATATTTTACAGCTCTAGACATAATGCAGATTCTTCCCAATAACAAATCAAAAAAAAAAAAAAAACAAACAAACAAAAAAATGAGTTATCAAACGTCACTATTCAGTCAAAGTTTAGCAATTGTTCTAAAACTTTAAAATTAATGTGGTTAATCTACCTATGAATAAATCAATAAATTAATTAACGTCTTTAAATAAATGTTTGATTAACAGTCTGTCAGCAATAAAAAATGTGCAGTTTCCTTACAGTACTAAATCAGACAAACAAACAAATAAATATTCAAACATATAAACAAACTTGAGTTTTAGTAATATACTAGACTACCCGTTATCTAGTTAGATAACTGTGGGTTTCGGGGGGGGGGGGGTCACCCATAAATGACATCACGTCTGCCAGCACTTATCATCCTAAATAACCAGCCCCCCATATAGAGCATTTTCCTTCAAGTACCAAATCAGAAAAACAAACAAATAAATATTCAAACATGTAAACAAACTTGAGTTTAGTAGTATATAGATAGATAGATAGATAGATGTATAGAAATTTTCTGGAATAAAATGTTTATTTTTGTTATGTCGAATAGCATTAAAAATTACATACATACATAACAATATCAGAGAGCTTACACTTCATAGAAACTACTCCGTTTAGAAGTCAGGAAGACAACATAAAATGTTAATTAATGGAAAATGTTATGTTGTTTGTAAATGAGAAGTTCAAAAACAAGTTTGAAAGATACAAATAGTTAACTAAATAGACAATGAATTGTGACATGTTTCGACACGTTATCGGACATACAATAAATTTGTCCTAATGTGCTGTGAAGCTGTTTCCAACCCAACGTTTAAAGGGTTCAGGTCAACATAATTTAGACATGGGCGCAGTGTAGAATGTTCTGCTAACAAATTCTGAACTTTTGGTTTACCTATTGTGCGATCTACCACGCTGTCTTGAAAATATTCAATTGAGAATATTTTTTTTTAAATTCTATTTCATAATTTAATAGTTTTCGATGGCCTTTCACTGTAGTAATATAAAAATTCAATAGTTTTAAATGACTTACCATTGTGACAGCTAAGTGTAGAATTGTTGTGATATGTGTCATTTGGACAACTACAGGAGCCATTAGCACAAGTCAAGTAACTTCGACACTGGTCCACTAGAGAACAGGATTTTCCATACGATAAATCTGATAGAAATGCAGTAATAAATAAAGAGGTTAGGCTCCAGAAAAAAAACATATTAATTGAAACGTTTTTTTGATTAAGTTATGGAATTCTAAGTACCAATTTTTCATTGTTTAATGAATATTTTCAATACGGCCATTAGTGGTTTAATTATATTCAATTAAACGTCCAATGTTGCAACAATCAGTGTGTTTAATGTGGGTGCATTCAAGATTTAGTTTTAAATCATTAAAAGTTGTAAACTAGATTAAAACAGATTTATTTTATAGCTTTAATAACTCTTTTTCATTTGCATTTATTTTCCTTTACTAAAATTTAAAAAAACTAAAAGCTATCAATTATATGTATAATGTTAAAGGTTAATTACACTTTTTGTGGGTTAATAAAAGAATTGTTTATTTTAAAGCTCGTTCTATTTTCTATAGCTCTTATCTACTGCAGTAATAAGTTGTAGTACATTTTTGTGATTTATCTCTACAATATAACAATTGAATATGCATCTACATTTAATGATACATTGACTAAACTGATAACACAATGCCTTTAAATTTTCAAACCCCTTTTACCTGTGATAACATAGTTTAGCTTAAATCCTCTGTAAGAAACAGGGTCGATAAGCCGTGATGTTAGAAGGGCGATAAAGACGAAGTTGCTTGATGCGTTGATGGAAAACACAGGTACTTGACCACAACTTGGGAGATTTAGATTATTTCGTGTGTACTGACCATCATACGCAACAACAAATGCTGACCCGCACGGTAAAACCTCAAAGTCTGTGATGCTAAAATTGATCATAAATACACGATCATATATATGTATTTCTAACCAATATATATATATATATTTATATATATATATATATATATATATATATATATATATATATATATATATATATATATATATATATATATATATATATATATACAATAAGTCCATATATTTATAATTATAATTTAAAAAAAACATACATGTACATATTTTATATATTGTATCATAAAATAAAGAAGCACCAAATGCTTACAACTATTTTTCATAGGCTAAATGGAAGAATAGTTTAAATTATGTGAGAAAAAAAAAGTAAAAACACTTCTGATAAGAATACATTCCTACTTTAAAGATATCTTAGTTCCAGCATCCCCTTCAATTCTCCAGGAACAAGTCGAGTTTTTGTTGTAACCATTGGGATAACCAGAGCTAGTGATTACACCCTTTGTCCCTTTTACAATGTTCAAGCAAGCTGGCAGATGGAAAAAAAGAATGAACATAACCGAGTAATACCAATCTTTTAATAGGTGTATTTAATTGGGTATCATCGCACTTAACATTGATAATCGATCTAAGTATTTCACTTTTTTTTCTGCAATCACTGATTATTATGTTTAGTTAAGCTGCCTACATACAAATATTTGTTTCACTCCTACGTTGAATTTTTTAAAGTCAAAGCATCCGGAATACGAAAAATATCAATGTAAAACGAATATAGTATTATTGTTGACGGAATATCGCCTCAAGGAGATGGAAATAGGTTTATTTGACAACACTGTGTGTCAATTAAATAAGTGCTCGCTTAACTCAAGAACAGAGAGACTAATGAAGTTACCTTGTGTATAGTAGTTACTTAAAAACCCTTGATACGCTGTTGAACTATCAGTTCTAAACACGACGTGCATGTAGTTCGATGAAGATACAACATACACTGGTGAACTGCTATAGCAGTACCGTCCTAATGATACACCACTGGTGCTCTGTCCGTCGTAGACTTCGATGTGGTGGTTGGAACAGGAAGATGTGTAGCTACTCACATTTAATTGAGTAATGCTGTGGAGTAGACGAATGGAAAAAAATGTATATAAGAGATACAATATTTATCCAAGAAGCATCGTCAAGTGCAGATTATTTCGATGACTAATGTCACAATGTCAAGATGGGGACAAACATTTAACCCAAATTTAATATGTAATAATTTCACATGCATGCAGAATAACTATATGCAAAAAACAAACAACGCAGTTGAAGACTAGCACAGAAGAGGTCCAGTCAAATATGAAATATTACCATCAAAATATTTGTGAATTTATTGACTTTATAAAATAGGAGCAAGGCTCAAAGTTGTAAAGGATATTTTTACCAAAACACACAACACATAAATTTATATCAGCGCTCGAATTACAACTGATGTTCAAGCTTTCATTAATTGCTTATATTAGAGTGTTTGAAAGGCAAAGATTAAAATTACTGGGATTTTTAAAAAATAATAACTAATTAAAACTTTAAAATCATAATAAAATGCTGCTTTTATTCTTAATTTTTGCTTTACTTTTTTGTTCTTATGTTAATTTTGCTTTTAATTATAACTTTGTTTCTCTCCATAATTAGTATTTCCTTAAAATAAATCTAAATCGGGGTGAGGGGGGGGAGGGTATTGTCTGGATGGGGGGGGGGGGGGGGGGGGGTTGTGACGCGGGGGTTCGGCCTACTAAAAAATATTCATACAACAACTTTTTAATAACTAGTTTTTATGTAATAATGCACTAAAATTGAGAAAATACATTATTTTCTTTAATTATAAAAGAATACACTATTAGTTAAATAAATATACAGAAAGCGAGGGTCACTATATTATCTAGTGGATAACTTTATAAAGCTTTCTTCATAGTTATTTGTTATAGTGCATAGTTATGTATATTTATCAGTGCATTACTATATAATATTAAAACATGTTAAATGCATTTTTACTTTCTCGTATACTAAGTATAGAGGAAATCATGCAGATTTCGAAATCATAAATTTGTAGTTTTTATCAACTTTTCAGCAATATCCGGTAACCGGTACACGGAAGTGGAACTTATTTTACTTTTGATTCTTCAAAAGCATATAACTTGAGTACTGCTTCAGATAGATAAACGAAATTTAGCATATAAGTTAAAAAAAAATTCTCTGCTTTCTATCAAATTTTGAGTGATTTCCGTTGACCGGAAGTACTTTACGCTACTTTCGATGTTTCAAAAAATGCATATGAATTTATAAAGTATTAATATTCCGTAATATTATACACATTGTTTACTGTTCACTTTGTGCGCAATTCTTTTTTATGAGATTCTATTCTATTTTTAAAAGTTTGAGTAATTAAAAATTAATTAAAAACAATTTTTATACCTCGAGTCGCCATTTCCCTTTTGCAAGTCTCACAATTGTAAAAAAAAAAAAAAAAAAAAAAAAAAACTACGAGTACTTGACTATAAGGTAGAAAGTGGTTAAGTGCATGTCATAATACAAATAATTACTGATTACACATTGTTCTAGATTATACTGAAATAAAATATACTCCAAGAAGGAAAGCAAAACTAGATAGTTAAAAAAAGCTGTCAATTATCTCAACATACTTGAGTACAACAAATGTCCCAGAATTTCCTAGGATTGTCCACGTGTAGATTTGATTATAAAGAAAATATCTAGGAAAACCTGGGCTGATTATATATCCGGTTGGTGCTGTTAGTGTTGATGCTGTACCTTAAAAAACACAATCCAATCATTAAAAAAAACTGTGAATTAAATATCTATAATTTGCATTGTCTATTGCTGTGATTTTGCCATTAAAAAAATTAATTCGACATTTTCTTAAAATATTACTAAGTGTTCAATTATTTAAAATTATATATATATATAAATATAAATAAATAAATCAATAAATATATATATATATATATATATACATATATATATATACATATGTATATATATATACATATATATATACATATATATATATATATATATATATATATATATATATATATATATATATATATATATATATATATATATATATATATATATATATATATATATATATATTTATTTATTTATTTATTTCTTTCTTTATGTATATATTTATTTATTTATTTATTTATTTATTCATTTATTTATTAAAATACTAACTTTGAGTGTAATAAGAAGCATTGAAGCCTTTGTACGTATGGTAGCTATCAGTCTTAAACACAATGTACATGTAATTTGATGTAGAGGCGATCAGACCAGGGACAACGTTACCACAAAATGTAACCAGCTGTCTTGGGCTTGAAGACGACCCGTCAAAGACTTGAAGATAGTCACTACTGCAGTTTGATGTTACTGGGCCCAAGTCAAATAATGTTATACTGAAATTTAACATTATTATTCTTTTAAGAATTTTTTACCACGATTAAAAAAAATTATTAAAAATATATTTAAAAAACACACCCAAAAACTGTATGTTGCTTTAAAGTATATTAAGATTACAAACTTTATAATAGTGTAATATTTATAACACTTGCTTTAAGACTATAAACGTCCCATCAACTCCATCAATTCTCCAAGTAATTTGAGTGTTATCGAGATAACCAATAGGAAACCCTGGACTAATAATAAATCCTTGTGATCCAGACATAATATTTGACGTAGCTGAAAGGTGAAAAAGTAATATATATAAATATAAATATAAATATAAATATAAATATAAATATAAATATAAATATAAATATAAATATAAATATAAATATAAATATAAATATAAATATAAATATAAATATAAATATAAATATAAATATAAATATAAATATAAATATAAATATAAATATAAATATAAATATAAATATAAATATAAATATAAATATAAATATAAATATAAATATAAATATAAATATAAATATAAATATAAATATAAATATAAATATAAATATAAATATAAATATAAATATAAATATAAATATAAATATAAATATAAATATAAATATAAATATAAATATAAATATAAATATAAATATAAATATAAATATAAATATAAATATAAATATAAATATAAATATAAATATAAATATAAATATATATATATATATATATATATATATATATATATATATATATATATATATATATATATATATAAATTTATAAACACCTACATTCATTTACGTATAGTGAAGAAACTAGTTGTCTATTATCGGAAAAAAGATGAACTTATAATGCTCTGGTAAAATTTGAATTTGTTTTTAAAATAATGATTTTAATGTATTTCTATTACAAAGACATACATTACTGAAACAACACGATAATTATTATTAAACATTACTCACTGTAGGTATAATAAAAAGCATTGAATCCCCTATATGTATTGTAGCTATCAGTCCTAAACACAATGTACATGTAATTTGATGTAGAGGCGATCAGACCAGGGACAACGTTACCACACAGTGTAGCCAACTGTCTTGGGCTTGAAGACGACCCGTCAAAGACTTGAAGATAGTCATTACTGCAGGTTGATGTTACTGGGCCCAAGTCAAATGATGTTATACTGAAGTAAAAAAAATATTTAATAAAATTTCTTTAGACTTTTTCATGTTTAATGCATTTTTTATTACGATAACACATTTACAGAATTCTTTTTAAAAAAGTTTATTGATTTAAAGCATATTTTATTATCAAACTATATTGTGCAAACTGTAACACTTGCTTTAAGACTATAAACGTTCCGTTAGATCCGTTAAGTGTCCAAGTAATGTGACTGCTGTTGAGATAACCAATAGGAAAGCCTGGGCTAATAATAAGTCCTTGTGATCCAGAAATGATATTTGTCGTTGCTATGAGGGAAAAAAGCACATATTGACTATATATATATATATATATATATATATATATATATATATATATATATATATATAATGTCAAATAGTTTATTTGAGAAATTTATAAAGTCAAATAAAATAAATAAATAAATAACAAGTAATTGAAAAAATATCATTATTAGATTTTTGTAGGTCTACACATTGTGTTTAGAAAAAGAAACACAGTTACAATATTTTTAAAGTAAAAGGTAAACAGGGGATTTGTTTTTAAGTGTATTTAAGAAAAATTTAAATTATTCATTTGATTAAATTGGTAACACAACCTTTTTAGAACATAATAAAATTATTAAATATCAAAATGAGCATTTTTTAAAATCTCAGTTGCTTTAATTTAAGAATTTTGTTTTTTTAAAGCTGTTCACTTTGTATAAGGGGTGCATTCTTTTAGCAGTAGAAAGAACTATTCGGTAAACACATTTGATCACAGTTTTCATATAATTCTATGCTGCTTTTTAATGTAAATTTTCATTTTTACTTTCTTGTATACAGAGTATACAGAAAGTATTATAATCGTGCACAAAAATAACATGAAATTTTGACAGTTTTCACCGTTTTACTCCTCAGTCATTTATCACATCCGGAGTATAGAGGACTTATTTCAATTAGGCAAAAATTATAAATGCAAATATATACACATTTTGGCGTTTTATGCGTTATCGAGTCGTAAAAACTGGATTTTTGAATTCTGTCCGTATGTCTGTGTGTCTGTGTGTCTGTCCGTGTGTAAACACGATAACTTGAGTACCTTTACAGCTAAGTTGATGAAATTAAATATATAAGTATTTCATCAAAATCGTAGATCTTGATCGAATTTTGAGCGATTTCTGATAACCAGAAAAGGTACATTTTCGACTTTGAACTTTTCAAAAGCCTATAACTTGAGTACTATTTAAGACAGATAAATGAAATTTCACAAGTACGTAAACAATCTAGGTCTCTACCTTCTTTCAAATTATGAATAATTTCCGTTGACCGAAAGTACTAATTTACGCTATTTCCGATTTCTCAAAAAAATCATGTATATTTATAAAGTACTAATAATATTGCGCACTATTATGCACATTTTGTATTGGCATTCGCTTGGTGCGCAATTCTTTTTTCTATGAGATTCTATTCAATTTTTAAAAGTTTAAGTAATTAAAAATCATGTCTATATTCCAAGTTATATAAGAATATTTGAGAAAGTTTAGGGGAGATCACTCCCGGTTTATTATTCAACGTGATTTTTATTACATGTTTTACGTCAATATATCTCTTGCAGTGACTGTCGGTAATGGTATTGGCAGTAAAAAGTCGAATAAACCAATATTATACGCTCTTGTAAAATTTGAATTTGTTTTTTTAAATTACAAATGTATGTTTATTACACAGATATACATTCGTGATTCAAAATAATATTTACTATAACACAGTACTCACTGTAGGTAAAATAAGAAGCATTGAATCCCCTATAGTTATTGTAGCTATCCGTTTTAAACACAATGTACATGTAATTTGATGTAGAGGTGATCAGACCAGGGACAACGTTTCCACACAGTGTAGCCAACTGTCTTGAGCTACTAGAAAACCCGTCAAAGACTTGAAGATAGTCATTACTGCAGTTTGTCGTTAGTGGCCCAAAGTCAGATAATCTGATACTAAAATAAAATATTATTACGTTTTGTTCACTGTGTTCTTTCAATTTCAATTACGTCTTTACCACCAATAAAAATTTAAGTGGCTACAAATATTTCTTAAAAAAAAACATTTTTCATAAACTCTAATTTTCGAGTTTTAATTTCATAAATACGTATTTAAATAATTAACTGATTTTCTACTTACTTTAAAATGATAAATGTCCCAGAAACACTATCAATTCTCCAGGTGATGTACTGGTTGTTAGGGTAACCAAGAGGAAATCCTGGACTAATAATAAAACCTTGTGATCCAGTTAAGTTATTTGTCCTTGCTATGAGACGAGCAAGCATATATATATATATATATATATATATATATATATATATATATATATATATATATATATATATATATATATCAAAATAATTCAAAACATTTATTAATAGATAATCATCTGTTTAAAACATTTATACTGTAAACTAGTAATATCTAGATCACGTATGATTTCACATATTTTTTTAAGAAAAATAAAAGTTCAAATGTTTTGTCAGTGGTAGAAATGAGATGAAAATGTTTTTTAAATTTTAATACCTGCATCGAATACAATCATATATGTCTGTGTTTATTTACTAAGTCTATTTAATAAGCAATAATTATTTATTGAGACATGATTATTTTAAAGCTATTTAAATAGTTATATTCCGGGTTTTTTTATAGATGAAACATTAAAGTAATTTAGCTTATATATCCATTTTAATAAATGGACGTTAACACTCTTAGTAACTCACATTGTGTATAATAAGAAGCATTGAAGCCCCTATACGTATTATAGCTATCAGTTCTAAACACAATGTACATGTAATTTGATGTAGAGGCGATCAGACCAGGGACAACATTGCCACATAGTTGAGCTCATAGTTGAGCTAACTTGTTGGAGCTTAAAGACGATCCATCAAATAATTGAAGATAGTCATTATTGCAGGTTGACGACACTGGACCCAAGTCAAATGATGTTATACTGAAATTTAAAATATCAATATTGTAAAAATTACTTCGAACTTTGTTTTGTTTTAATTGATCCTTTACCACAACCAAATTACAAACATAGCCTTAGTTTTGCCTTTGTGCTCCATATGAATATTACTACTTTGAAATTACAAATTGTTCATTTTGTTTAAATGCAGTTCTAAGATTTTGACCATTTAAAACATGCATTCGTTTAATACTTGCTTTAAAACAATGAAGGTTCCTGTTTCTGAATTGATAGTCCAGGTAATGTAACTGTCGTTAAGGTAGCCAAGAGGAAACCCTGGGCTAATTACCAAACCTTTTGATCCATAGATAGTGTTAGTATTGGCTAAAACACAAATAAGTACACATTTATTGAATGCAACGAGCAATGTTACACATTTAAAGAAGCATTGTATATATATATATATATATATATATATATATATATATATATATCCTAATATATAATGGACTCTGTGCGCACTTCTCTCTCTGTCCGCAAAATATTTTCGCCGGACATCACATCAGAAACTGCAGCGATACATGAAGAACTTTATACGGATTTTTGTTGAAAATAATATGTTAGATGTTTTAAATGTATAACCACATTTTTATTTAAAGAAGAAAAATAAAAAATAAAGGCGTATTCGAATGTAGAAAAACAATTTTAATTATGCAACCGCAAAAGTGTTTAAACTTGGGACAAGAACGCATTTAACAATGACGTCGCTAATTGTTTACACTAAAAAAAGAGCCGCGGGCGCTTCAAATTTGGCAGGATCTTGCCTTGGGGCGACAGAACACGGGGACCGGTTGGCCGAAAAGTCTACGATGAGGGGGTCAAAACTGACCTCGACTGACCGGCGCCTTATATGAGCTATAAATCGAAAAAAAATGTCCACGTAGGAACCTCTTCCTAGCTCCTGAGGTCGTAGACCGACCATCGGGCGAATTAATTAAGCATTCAAATTCTCAATGTTTTCGAAAGCCTAAGCGAAGCTTGGCAGCATGCCTAGTATATATATATATATATATATATATATATATATATATATTTATATATATATATATATATATATATATATATATATATATATATATATATATATATATATGTATATATATATATATATATTTACATAGATATATATATATATATATAGATATATATATATATAGATATATATATATATATATATATATATATATATATATATATATATATATATATATATATATATATATATATACATATATATATATATATACATATATATATATATATATATATATATATATATATATATATATATATATAAATGAGATATAGATGAGATAAATAACTCCTAAACACCTTGACTGAATACAGAAGGTCTAATTAAAATTACGCTAATTACGTAAATTTTGCAGCTTATGAAAAACAAACGTCTATGTTTATAATCGGTCTAAATATAATGGGACAAACATTAGAAAATAAATAAAAATGAACAAATTTAGTCAGGCTACGTTCGATTTTTTTTTATTTGGTAAAATTGTGGCAAAACAGCTCGTTTTTTAAAACACAAATAAACCGGGAGTAATCTCCCCTAAACTTTCTAGAATATTCTTATATAACAATACAATGGGGGACCGCACCTCGGGATATAGACATCATTTTTAATCAATTTGTAATTAATGACCCTTTTTAAATTATAATAAAATCTAGTAGAAAAAAAATCTCGACGATTTACACCACCCTTAGTCGGAAAAACATAGTTTTGCAATCTTCTTCATATGTCTGTGTATATGTGTGTGTCTGTGAACACGATTACGTGAGTACCGTTACAGCTAGGTTGACGAAATTTCATATATAAGAATTATATCAAATTTGTAGATATGTATCAACATTGTAGCAGTTCCCGTTAAAAGGAAGTGGAACTTTTTTTGCTTTCAATTTTTCAAAAGCCTATAACTTAAGTACTATTTTAGATAGATCAATGAAATTTCACACGTTAGAAAAAGATATAATTCTCTGCCTTCTGTCAAATTTTGAGTAATTTCCGTTGACCGAAAGTAGTAATTTATGCCATTTCCGATTTCTCAAAAAATGTATGTGAATTTATAACGTACTAATAATATTCCTCACTATTTTACACATTTTCTTTGGCGTTTATATGGTGGGCAATTTTTTTTACGAGATTTTATTCTACTTAAAAAAGTTTAAGTAATTAAAAATGGATTAACAATATGCCTATATCCCGAGTTGCCATCCCTGGTATGGCTATATAAGAATATTCGAAAAAGTTTAGGGGAGATCACTACCGGATTATTTTAAAATCACATACTTATTAATGAATATGACTTAAAGTACACTTAAGTGAGACGGTATTTTATCAGGTAAACCCAGTCTCTCGGAAACATAAATATACAAACAAGGGTGCAAATATACGTTTTCAGAGGCAGGGCCGGGGAAAAAGTGAAAAATCTTAATTTTGATTTTTGCAATGCTTATTTTTGGAAAAACAATGTCCTTAACTTTGGCTTAAACTAACACTGTTTAGAAACTACCTTGTGAGTAAAACTCCCCATAAAATCCTTTATGCGTAACGGAATAATCTGTTCTAAATCTGACTATCAGGTAGTTTGTGGACGAGGCGATCACAGACGAGATGTTTTTAACACAGATGGTGTCAAACGTTCTAGCCGACGTGTTGGATCCGTCGTACACGGTAATGTAGTCTCTGCGGCATCCTTCAGCTTCCACAAAAGATATGCTAAACACAATTTTTAAATGTTACGAATTGGGAACGCTCAGACATATCGTAGAACTACTGGAACACTTAACCTCATTAATATAATCAAGTTAAAAAATTCACTTAGATAAATTTAGAAAAGTTCATACTTTTTAAAGCATTACTGAATATCAACATTATAGAATTATGTTCACATAAAGTTAGAGCAAATAATAGAAATTATATCGTGTCATATATACGAATTATAAATAAATAAAAAACTAAATAAATAAATATATATATATATATATATATATATATATATATATATATATATACACTTTCTCTTACTTTAAAATTAGATATGTTCCAGCTCTAGTGGTCAGTGTCCATGTGATATCCTGCCTATTCAAATAATTTAATGGATAACCCGGACTTGCCACTTTTCCTGACTCGTAGAGCGTTGCTACTGTGCCTGTAAATAGATTACATTTTTAATCTATCTCTTATTTCAAATACATATACAAAAAAAAACATTCTGAAATTCCGTTATTCGTTCACAAAAAACAATAATTTTTATGTACTAACGGATTGAAAACCTTTTGGATTTAATTATAGTGCAGTATTTATTGTTTATAAATAACATTCCTTAGTAAGATTTTTGTTTGCAATTCAAAAGGTAAATTATGTTCATACAATTGTAGAACTATATTATTGTCTTATGATCTCATACAAATAATTTAAAATATTATTATATACTTTTCACACATGAACACAGTTTTACGTAAAATGTTTTTTTTTTTTAAATTACATCATTGTTTTAAAATTTGTAATTAAAAAAAAAATATCTGCAATTATTATAAACAAAATGGATTTATATCTGTTGTTAATATTATTTTATTGAAATTTGTTCACGCACACATTTCCTTTAAAATCTCTCCTGCTGCACGGTATATTTAATTATTGATTTAAAAAGAAAAATAGTAGGCCTACATCTTTAAATACCTACACTTTAGTTAACGTATTCAACCAAATGTTAGCTCAGTGTATGAATAAAAACACTGCAAACCCCTTTTATCACCTCACCTTGTGTATAGTAGGTAGCATTGAATCCCTTATAAACACTCGAGTCATCTGTTCTAAAAACTATGTGCATGTAGTTTGATGTAGAAACGATCATTCCCGGTGCACTCTTGCCACAATATTTGGGGTAAGCGGGAGATGAGGCGCTACTTCCATCATAAACTTGTAAGTAGTCGTATTTGCATTCAGGAAATGTGCCCTCCAGCTTAAATGTATCAATGCTGTTGTAAAAAAATAAATACGATTCCTTTATTTTTCTACCAGTGTTTCTTTCATACTTTTCACTCAGAGGTGGTGTTATGATGCATGTTCTGAGTGTAGATCGATGCGAGTGAATGTTGGTGCGAAAGGTATGTTGAACGCATGGAATGATGACGCGTATAGTGTGACAGTGACAATTTTGTGTAGAGACTGGTTGCTGGGGAGTGTGTGTGAAGCAGTCTAATCTTGATTTGTCGGTGTTAAAGGACGTGTGTTGGTTGACATGACTTAAGTTGAGAGATAGGTTCTAGGAATATATATATGTAGATTAAATAATAAAGATTCGTACAAGGAGTACTTAGTTCGTCTTATCTCTGGGCGTCGTAGATTCGTCTGAACGTGAGATAGCCTTATTGGTTCTCAAGTTTAGAACTTCTCTCCCTGGTAGTGGAGATGAACCAAATGGTAGTTGGCCGAGTCAAGTGGCTCAAACCCTCTCGCACAAACCTAAGCGTAACAGATGGCACAAAATTTTCCGGAGTGGAGGGGGGGGGGGCACTGGTAAAAGTATATTATTACTCTTTCTATATAAATTATATTTTGCTCTAGCCTGGAGGGGAGCTGACGTTTTAAAGTGAAGATTATGAGAATTTAACACACTCTCTCTGAATATGTGTGAATGTGTGTGCTTGCTTGCGTGTGTGTGTGACACATAGTCTAATTTAAGTAATTTAAACTTCGAAATAACAATAAACTATAAAGCACAATTGTTTTTTTTTATCGATTAGCAAAATAGAATTACTTTAGGTTGATAAATGTCCCGGATCTTCCCACGATTGTCCAGTCGTAAACTTTGTTATCTAGATAGACAAGTGGAAATCCAGGACTGACAATGAAGCCGGATGCATCTTGCAATGTTGTTGATGTTCCTACAGGGATATTAATGTACCACAGTATAAATTTGCTTTATCTTTTATCAGTCTCTCTTTGTATATAGTGCCATATATATATATATATATATATATATATATATATATATATATATATATATGTTTATACATTAGGTATATACATTTTGGATTTTATAACAAATTTGGAAATCGTTAGATCATTTTTTTGTTATCAAATGGTTAAGTGGTTATTTTTAGGTTGACACTACATACCGAATAAACGTTTTACTTAAGTACAACAATGTTGTTAGTCACTACGGCCAGCTGCTAAAATTTGATAGTGTTTGCTGTAAATAGCTTTACGAGAATCGTATGAGAAACCACAACTTCAATTGATTGTTAAGGACGAAAGTGCCTCATTAATATATTATGCATGCTTAAAAAGCGATGTATTTTCTCAGTATAGTTAAGGCTTGTTATTATAAACATTTCAACTGATTATTATTTCTGTGTTTTATGTTAAATCAGACCTTCGGAAAACATATTCAAATCTTATATTGTGCGCAAAATATTCTATTGATTAGTACCTAAAATGACCACATTCGTTTTCTTTAAATGGATCTCATCTAATTTGTTCATGAAACAATTCACTTTTCTAGAAACGGGTATAATTATGTTCCCTTATTTGGACCCCTGACAGATAAATACAAAAAGTATAAAACAGGTCTGTCTGTTGGTCCGTCCGTCCGTCCGAACGCGCATCCGAATTAATTTCATAAGAATCGCATGAACATTAAAAAGTTTACAAAAACTCTATAAGATATTAGGTTTTATAAATTTCTTTAAAAACATCTCTGTTGTATTGTAGACGCCTTTCTGTTTTGTTTTTTTTTGCCTGTAACTATCTTGATGTAAACAACAAACCATACCTTGTATTTTAAATGTCGCGTGAAATCGTCCACTTGCTGATGTACTAAACACGACGTACATGTTGCTTGTGGTGGACACTGTCAGCACCTGCCATGATGTGCACATTTTCCCAAATGTCCTGTAGGATGATGAAGGCCCGTCAAATAGTTCCAGATAGTTTGATGAACAGCTATTGACAGATTCCATGTCCAAGTAAGTTACGCTGGAGAGGAGAACGAAATATTGTGAATACAATTTATGATAAAATCTAGAGAGGATGAACGTAAAACAATGATTATAAAAAGAACAATAAAGCAATTTGATGGATACAGAATTTCAGAAAGGCATCAATCTACAAATAAAAGGATACACATACCTTTGAATAAAATCATATTTTTAATTATTTAATTAAATAATAAACTATTTATTAAAATTAGATTTATATATACATATGTATACATACACACACACAGGCACACATATATATATATATATATATATATATATATATATATATATATATATATATATATATATATATATATATATATATATATATATATATATATGTATATATATATATATATATATATATATATATATATATATATAATATATATATATATATATATATATATATATATATATATATAATTTTAAATGTTGATCTATATTTATAAAAAGCAATGTATGTTTGTGTGTGTCTGTCTGTTTGTCTGTCTGTTTGTCCTTTATGCATTACTACACCTCTCACCACATTGCAGTGAAACTTTGGGAAATTGTTGAGAATATTACTGGGGAGGTTTCTGAGGAAAAAAAAATTCAAATTCGCTGGGGTGGCGCCTCGGCAGGGCGCAATATATTTTTCCTCTATATATGGTATATAAAAATAAAAGTCGATTTTGGTTTGACATCGTTCATCTGATAGTCATGAGACTTTGGCGAGTTCATTATAACACTCCAAGAAAGAGTTCTGTAAAAAAATAATTTTTCATTTCGCAAGGGCGGCGCCACGGGAGGGTGGGATTTTCCTCTATATATGGTATATAAAAATAATGAAAGTGATTTGCAGTGACACCGTTCATCCAATAGGCATGAATCTTTGGGAAGAAGTTGAATTTATTCCTAGTGAGGTTTCTGCGCTAAAAACATTTTCAAATTTGCAGGGGTGGCGCCACGGCAAGGCGCGATTTGTTTTTTCTAAAAAGACGATATATAAAAAGAAAAGTCGATTTTGATTTGAACCCATTCATCCGATTGCCATTAAACTTTGGTGAGTTCATTAGAACACTTTGGGGAAGGGTTGTGTAAAAAATCATTTTTCGATGTATCGTATATAAAAATAATAAAAGTGAATTGCCGTGACACCGTTTACACGATCGCCATGAAACTTTGGGAAGAAGTTAAATTCGTTTCTTGGGGAGGTTTCTGCGCTAAAAACATTTTCAAATTAGCAGGGGTGGCGCCCCGGCAGGGTGCGATTTGTTTTTTTCTCTATATACGATTTATAAAAATAAAAGTCGATTGCGGTCTCACAACGTTCATCCGATAGCCATCACACTTTAGGGACTTGATTAGAACACTCCAGGAAAGGGTTCTGTAAAAAATCATTTTTAAAATTCGCAAGGGCGGCGCCACGGTATGGTGGGATTTTTCTCAATATACGGTATATAAAAATAAAAGACTGTTGCGGTTCGACGCAATTTATCCCGGTGCCATAAAACTTTAGGGAGTTGATGAATACTCCCGAGAAGCATTCTGGAGTGGGAGGGGGGAATAGGGGTATGTGGATGGTGGGGGCGGGGGATTTAATTTTGCATGCCCCCCCCCCCCCCCCCCCCCCCGGCAGGATGCGATTTGGCGCCCTGGTCTTTCCCGTGAGCGCTATGGTGAATACGTTCGGTCTAAACAATGTGATAGACAATGAATAGGATGGGGCGTTACAAACGCTTACTAAATTGAATCAGTAGTGTTCTCTGGCGCCCTGGTAGGGTGCGATTAGCCTGCAAATAAAAATGTCTGTTTCGGCCCCCAAAGTTTCACATGGGCCGCTGAGGGCCAAGTAATTCGTTTTATTTTAATAATCAGAAAAATTAACCAAGGTTAGATAATTAACTGGGATGTTTTGTTTTTGTCCGTAAACAATTCAAACTGTTTCGTCACTTTGCGAATGATGCAATCAGCATCTATTTTAGATAATCCAAACAGAAATTGAGATAGAGCATCTAAGAATAGACCAATGCTAACGCTATAATAGTGCATCAGTCACACTGATGTTTAAAAAGCGTCAAATATTTTTTTTACGTGTTAAATAACAAATCCTGTTCATTTTTGTCACTTTAGTGAATGACACAATCTGCATCATTGTTAACAGGATGCTTTTTTAAAGAGCCAGGGGTCGTACGCCGCGCTTATGCGGTAGCGTAATGGGGGGGGGGGGGGCGCCTCGACGTCCCTGACAATGGGCGGTCACCGAAGTGTGTTCTACCTTATTATTTCGGTGAGTGGTTAATGTACACTCAAGGTTTTCATGCGGTAAGGCAGGTAAGCCCGTGTCCTGATATTTATGATCCAAGCGCATGCATTGTTTACATTTAAATAACTGATTTTTAGAAAAGAAGGTCACGCATCTTAGAACATATGATTCGTAACGCGTTGGTGAAATCCTTCTAATATATTTCGTCAAACTTTCTTCTATCCCCGCGGCAACGCGCGGGGGTCGGGTACGCTAGTAATCATATATTATCTCACTTAAAATAAAATTTCTATTGATCAGGATATTATAAACTAAAGCATTGCAAATTATGGCATCTAAAGGATGCTCGTGTTTAATGTATAGTCTACTGGATACATCAGTGGAAACTGTTGATCTTCTGAGTGAAAACAAAATCGCAATGCTATATTTCACAATAACTGATTTACTATGAAATATTAGTGTAATGCAATTTAAAAAAACAACAACACAGCAACAGTATGTAAATACTTGAAAGCGATAATGCTTCCCGTAGATCCTTGAATGGTCCAGAAACATTGCCCAGAGTAGCTTGATGGATAACCTGGGTTGGTTATTGTTCCTGATGCAGCTGTTATCGTTGAATTGCAATCTTAAAAAGAAGTGTACTTAATGGGTTAGGCTACAAAAAAATATTTAAATTAATATTTTTCCCATGGCAACGGCGGGTGATCTTGAAAAAAAAATGTTGAGTTTTTAAGTTTTAAACACTAAGACGTGCATTGATAGAGCTAGCAGTGATGAATTTATAAAAAAAACGAAAGCCTTTTAATGACAAACCACTTATAGATAAATCATATTATATTAAATATTTTAATACTCGTGTATAACACAGTCTAAATGTTTAGCATTACTTACTAGATACACAAGCAGCGACGCATGTGATGTATGTAGTCCCAGAGGCACATGCGCATCTTGAGTTAGAACAGAACCCAGTGACACATTGGGAGCTGGAGCTGCAAGTTTGGCCGTAGTCATACAAGCCAGGCGGTAGTGTGTTACATACAGGAGATGCCGCTTGACTTGAAAACTTAGTGGAAATATGTCAGGTGTGGGGATGTAAAAGACATCAAAGATTGAAAAACAAACAACCCAGTAATTAAGAATAGGTTTAACCAATTGATTTTTTGCTTAGATACAGATTTATAAAGCAGATAAATATAATTGGTGCTATGAACGTTGCTATATCAAAAAGTAGAAATGAGATATAATTGGATAACATTCCATCCGTTTGGGAATATTTAAAAATAATATGAGTTTAAATTCCAAAAAAATATGTTTTATGACTGCTAACCTGACTTCGAAACCAGTATTCAATTGCGAAAAACACTTACCAAATTCTTGTAGGTACACGACTAATGTTAGTGACATTATAGGCTGCTGGCCACGCTATCATTGCATGCCGAAAACTCTGAAACATGTGAGCTCTACTTCACCTACACCATGGACCTTCAGGCTCGACAATGTCCATACTAATGTTTTTGTACAGATGTACGAATCATTAACAATAGAATGAGTACCATGACTAGAGAGCAGCGCTTCGCACTTGAACTATTACATTGTAATTTAGCCAGCATCGCTGGTAATAATACAGAATTATAATTCACCTCAAGCTTTACTTAAACTCAACATCAGCTTTAACCCAAAATATTATTCTCATTCACATTTTTGACACAGCATTCAAATAAATACATATAATACTTACAATTATCGAGCACCATAATAGAGAAAAAAATACGGATTTTATAATCCTGCCTTCCATGATGAACACCCAGTAGAAAACTCTACATGTTAATGACCAGGACTTTCTAAACTAACACTTCAGTTTTCACTGGCTTTGTCAAGGCAAAACGTTATCAGCAAACAAGTTGCGCTCTTAATGACGAAGTCCGTGTCACAAGGAAGTAAAATCTAGACGATAATTAAACTGTTGTGTTAAGATTATTGTAGCCTGCGAGTTAAAGATGTCATGACGAATTTTAAAGTGCACAATTTGGCTAGCACATCATTATAACATCTTTACAAAAGCAAAATGGTCTTCTTAATCACATTTTAGTCATAGCCAATCCTCGTGTAATCATAATTTTAACACATTGAAACACATAAAGTCTGGAACAGAAACCAACGCGCTACAGATGTCTTTACTAAAGCAAACCCATTGGTACCATCACGTATGTATCATAACAGCCTAAAGCAGTTCAAAGACACAATAATTACTAGCCAAATTATGAGTCTACTTCCTAAACTTGTGTGTTCAGATTCCCATTTTTATAATCAAGTATTTATCATAACAAACGAATTACTAACCAAATTGTATGAGTCTACTAGCTAAACCGGTGTATACAGATCCCCATTGTATAATCACGTATTTACCATAACAGCCCGAAGACACAATAACTGCTAGCCAAATTATGCGTCAACTTCCTAAACGTGTGTATACAGGATACAGATTCAAGCCATGTGTTACAACATGTGTTTAACCCTATCACTTGATTACAGTTTCCAACGAGTATAGTGTGTGTACTAAACGTAACCTAGTTTGTGTAGCGTCCACTCATCTCTAATGTGTACTTAACTCAACATCCTATATACAGTGTCCACCGATCTATAATAATAGTTTCACTGTTCTGTCATTCTGTCTCAATGTCACTCTGTCTTGTCATGCAGGAACAATAGACTTGAAAAGCTGGTTCTAAATACTTATAAATTTGTGTTACCAGAAAGCATATTTTTGAACCAAAATTGAACATTTTATAAACGTTGTGTAATACGTACCAAAATACTTTCAGCTTAATTTATACTCGAAATGGACTAAGAAATAAGTAGGCCTACTAGTAATCTAAAAGTAATTCAGAAAACATTTTTTTTTTAAATTTAAAATAGTAGAGTCATGGAGTTGGGTTGCTTAGGGAGGTTGCATTTTTTAAATAAATACAACACTTGGCTATACACCACAGATCACTACTGTGTATTTTTATTATGGAGAACAATAATATTGTTCTGACTTTTTACAAGCTTTTATTTAACTCACTTCCTAGTCAGTCGTCAGTCTGTCTATCTAGATAGAAACGCCCGAGCGAAAGTATATGCTCTTCTAACTGACAGATATGGTTCGAAGTTGGTACGTGGGTCTAGACAATAATACAATGCAATATGACATTAAAGTTGACTTAATTGATTGCCTAATTAATTATTTATGATTTACTTAACATTTTGTCCAAATTAGTAGGCTGTCTCGTCAAACTATTCCGCACTATTAGACTACGTCATCACGTGCGCAATGGTTTTTAGTCATGCAACTCTATTGCATTAACAAATTGAAAGTACAGAAATTTCTTTTTCATAAAAAACGTTTTAATAACAAGCTTTTATATACTAATGCATTAAAAGTAGAAAATAAATTATAGACTACTATTTAAATAACTATAAAGAAAAGCGTGGGTCTCTTCCTAAACATTAGTAAAGGTATCCAATAGATTCTAAAGTAGTCCACGCTTTTCTTTATAGTTATTTAAATAGTAGTCTATAATTGATTTTCTTTTTAGTGCATTAGTACATAAGAGCTTGTTATTAAAACGTTTTTAATGAATTTTTTTTTTACAATATATTCTCATGACTAAAAACCCATTGCGCGCCTATTGAAACGTGATTACGCGCTATTGGAGGTAATGACGCGTGTGGTGTGGTTGGATACAAATGCCTATACTAATTTGTTAAAATTTTTAATTAATTCATAAAAAATTAATAGGCATCCAATTAAGTCAAATTTAATTTCAGATTGCATTATCTTCATGTCTTGTCCCACTTGCCAACTGTGAACCGAATCTGTCAGTTCGAAGTGTCAGAATTTTCGCTCGAGCATTTCGATCTAGACTGACGACTGACGATGAAATGGGTGAATAAAAGCTTGTAAAAATTCATTAAAAATATTCATAAAAAACGTTTTAATAGCAAGCTTTTATGTACTAATGCACTAAAAAGTAGAAAATAGATTATAGATTACTATTTAAATAACTAGAAAGAAAAGAGTGGGTCACTTTAGTTCCTATCGGATACCTTTACTAATGTTTAGGAAGAGACCCACGCTTTTCTTTATAGTTATTTAAATAGTAGTCTATAATTTATATTCTACTTTTTAGTGCATTAGTACATAAAAGCTTGTAGTTAAAATGACGTGTTTTATGACATTTTTTTTAGTAATTTACATGTGTTTTTTTTTTACAATAGAATTTCATAACTAAAAACCATTGCGCGTCTATTGAACGTGATGACGCGCTATTGAACGTGATTACGCGTGTGGTGTGGTTGGATAGAAGTGCCTACTAATTTGGTCCAATTTTTAATTAATTCATTAAAAATTAATTAGGCCACCAATTAAGTCAAATTTAAAATCACGATGCATTGTCTTCACGTCTTAACCCACGTTCCAACTACGAACCGTTTCTGTCAAGTAGAAGTGCCTGCAATTTCGCACCGGCGTTTCGATATAGACTGACGAATGACGACTGACGACAGAGGAAGTGAATAAAATAAAAGCGTGTAAAAACGTTTTAATAACAAGCATTTATATACTAATGCACTAAAAAGAAGAAAATATATGAGTTTCAGTAAAAATATAGTAATATATTACGCTTCTATTAATATAACTATAAAGAAAAGCGTGGGTCGCTACCTAAATTTAATAAAAGTATCCATTAGATAATATAGTGTCACACGCTTTTCTTTATAGTTATATAAATAGTAGTATTATATTACTATATATTTAAAGAAACTCATTTATTTTCTACTTTTTAACGCATTAGTACATAAAAGCTTGTTATTAAAACGTTTTTTATGAATTCTTTTTTTTTGTTTTACTCTCCCTGGCCATTCCGGATGACTTCAAGGAGAGGTTAAACGCAGTTTTTTTTATATATTTCATTACATCAAACATTCTAAACGGCTTTTCAACGGCTAATATTCGATCATCATCATCATCATCATCACTCCTTTGTGGCCCCTGGGGAGCAAAGAGCTGCAACCTCACATCTCTAGCTGACTCGGTTTTGGGCGGCTCCTCTAATCTTTGCCCATGAGAGCCCAGCTGCTTTCGCCTCTTCCTCAACCGTTTTCTTCCATGTTTTCCTTGGCCGGCCCACCCTCCTTTTCCCCTGGGGATTCCAGTCCAATGCATGTTTTGCGATGTTTTCTTTTTCTTTTCTTAACGTGTGTCCGATCCATCCCCATTTGATATCTTTCTCTATTGGCTGTTGCTTTAAAATTTGCCACAGGTCTTTGTTTAATATTTTGTCTGGCCATCATATTTTGAGTATATGTCGTAAGCATTTGTTTACGAACGCCTGTAGCCTATCAGTATTTGTCTTCGTAACCCTCCAGGTCTCCAAGCTATAGAGTAGCACTGCCTTAACATTTGTGTTGAAAATCCCAATTTCGCTCCGGAGTGACAGGGCCGTGGACCTCCACATCGGGCGCAGTGAGTTGAAGGCACATCTAGCCTTGTTGATACGGCATTTTATGTCCTCGTCTGCTCCCCCGTCCTTATTGATCACGCTTCCCAGATATGTGAATGTGTTTGTTTCTTGTAAATCTTCTCCATTTAGCTGTATCGGCAGGTCCTGGCTGTTATTGATTCTGATGACCTCTGTTTTGTTTTTATTGATTTTTAGTCCCATTTTGGAGGCTTCTTCAGATTGCCGATTTAGTTTGGCTTGCGTGTGTTGATGCTTATGAGATAGTAGGCAGATGTCATCGGCACAATCAAGATCATCCAACCTTTTTGTGAAACTCCAATGGATTCCTGTGTCGTTTTTTGTGGCTCTCAGCATGATCCAGTCGATTACCATCAAAAATATCATTGGCGATAGCATACATCCCTGTCTTACTCCCGTCGTCACCGTGAATGGTTTTGTTAGCTTTCCCTTGTGTATTACCTGACTGGTGGAGTCTTCATATAGTTTCTGTGTGATAGATATACATTTTTTGGGTATTCCATAGTGGCTCATTAACTTCCAGATAGCATCTCTATTCACACTGTCAAACGCCTTTTCGAAGTCGAAAAAAAGTCATGTATAAGGGGGATTGCCACTCAAGGGACTGTTCGATAATGATGCGCAGCGTGGCAATGTGGTCAGTACATGACCTGTCCTGACGAAAACCAGTCTGTTCTTGTCTCAGCTTTTTTCCAAGGCATCTCTAAGTCTCTCTAGGATGATTCTTGTCAGCACCTTACTTGGAACTGAAAGAAGCATTATCCCTCTCCAGTTGTTGCATTGTGTCAGGACTCCCTTCTTTGGCAGTTTTATCAGGTATCCCATTTTCTAGTCAGATGGGATTATCTCTTCTTCCCAAATCTGCTTAAGTAGAGGATGTAGTATGTCTGATGATATGGCTGGGTCTGCTTTTAGTGCCTCTGGTGGAATGCCGTCCGGGCCAGCTGCTTTGCCATTTTTCATGTTTTTTATTGCTGTTATTGTTTCTAACTTTGTAGGTGGATCTGAACACACATCTAGTAGGTGATTTGCAGGTGGTATATCGGGGATGTTTGATGAGAGAGGATGGTTTAAAATCTCATCAAAGTGCTGTACCCATCTGTCTGTCTGTTCTGTGTCACTTGTTAAAATATTTCCTATTTTATCCTTTACTGGTTTGTTGGGATTAATGTTCTTGCCTGATAGTGTCCTGGTTACTTCATAGAGCCTCTTCATTTTTCCTTGTCGTGCTGCAGTTTCTGCCTCCTCTATCATCTCCTGTATGAACTGTCTTTTGTCTTCTTTTGCACTTTTCCTGACCATGCGATTTACTTCAAAATAATGTGTTCTGAGGTTTATTTTCTCTTTTTCATCCTTACATTTGTCAATCTTCGGCTTTATCTCTTTTCTATCTTCAATTTTGGCCCATGTCTCTGTTGTGATCTATTCTTTTTGTTCATTTTTTCTTCTCCCCAATATGTCAGTGCATGTTGACTTCCATAGTTCCTGTATTCCTAGCCATTTTCGCTCTACTGTTTCCTCTGCCAGGATGGAGAGTGCTTCATACCTTTTTATATATTTCATTACATCAAACATTCTAAACGGCTTTTCAACGGCTTATATTCGATACAAAAATATAAAAATTAGTTTTAAATTATAAACATTTTGTTTGGCGTTCACTTGGTGCGCAATCCTTTTTCCAACGAGATTCTATTCTTTTTTTTCAAAAGTTTAAGTAATTAAAAATGTATTAAAATAATATTGTCTATATCCCGAGTTGCCATTCCCCGTAATTTTATATAAGAATATTCGAGACAGTTTAAGGGAGATCACTCCCGGTTTATTAAGCGAAATAGCTTAGTCTGCAATTATTTCCATTACACCTAAATTTATTACCAACCATTATATAAACACTTTCAACAATAAAAAATGTAACTGAAAATACAAGATAAATTTATTCATGAAAATCGGAGCAGTTAAAAACATTGAATGAGAGAAAAGAATAATTTCAAATGTTCAATTGTTTACATTTTATAAAACACAGTATTTTGATGCAGAATGTGTGCATGAGATTTAAAACACTGTAGTAGGACATGTTTCAAGAACAAAATTTTATTTTTCATGTCAACCAAACACATATTTACACTTTAATAAGTAACATATCAGCACTCAATATAAAATTATTAAATATTAATTGAAAATAATGTCTGAAAGAAACTAATTAAATTCACATACTGTATTTATAACATATATTATCAATTTAAAAATAGGAGTGCATTTTAAAAAAATAGGAAGCGTGCTACAGAAATGAAATCGTAATACTAGAAGAAGGTTTATAATGTAACTGTTCCAAATTTCTTGAAGAATTAGTCTTTTCTTATATAGCTTTGATATAAAAATATGCTGGCTCGACTCCTCGGATGTAGATCAATGAGGTAGCTACATGAACAGCAGATGGATTTTACAGGATATGTTTTGTGATTCTGTGAAAGCAACTTTATTAAAACACGTTCCTTTTGATATATGTGAGTTTCTGGCATAAAATTTCGATTTTAGAGGTGTTTAGTTCACTTTAGACACTTAGTGGTTTCTCATAACCTTGCTCAAGATATTCTGAAAATGGCATCGTTATATTCTCTTACACACGAAGATACAAAAGCTTTTTATAAAACAAACGATTTTTAAGTAAATTGTATATGTTTCATGAAAATTTACATAGTTACATGCGCCTTAAAATAAAAAGATTTACATTATTTCGTGTATTTCCGCAATTATAGGACACAGCGCTGATTTTCCGTCAGTTCTATACTATGATGTTTTATATACTTACTTTTTTTTACTTACTTAACCGAAATAAGTCGTTTATTAAAGTAGATCATTTAATTTACACACTTGTTTATACAATAAATATATTTAGAATAATGAAAATGCTAAATTATTCAATACTATGCATTTATATTTATTCTCTAAATACATATTATTTCTTTTTTGATACATTAAAATTTTAACAATCGATTTTTTAAAAAAATGTTGGTTATATCCAACCTAATAACTTGCATAATTTCAATCTTTACGTGACATAACAACAAAAACTGTACGGATTGTTGACAAAAGTCCCTTGAAAATGTGGTATAATAAGACCAAAAAAATTCTATTTAGCTATGAAATTTGAAACAAAACTTTACCGAAAGAGACGATAATACACATGAAAACTGCATAAAGTTAACTATAACATACTTAGATAACAAAAACACAGCACTCTAGGCCAAGATACTCATATTTACATTTTTTCTACACAAAACATAAGCATTCATTGATAATTGACAATGTACTAATATGAAGCAAAAAAATAGAATAATAATGAAGAAACTGTGCCAGCCACTAAACAATATAATTTTGTCTGGCAAAACTCAGAAGTTTCGATTAACAAAGTTATTGTTAGCGGGAAGTTTTCATGTAGTGTTTTCATTTTCTACACATTTTTGTTATTAAGTAGGTCTTGTGCTAAACCTTCCAATGTAGATTAGGAATTATAATTTAACTCCAAGTACAAGGCTGCTAACTTTAATAGAGGTGACTAATGCAGGCGGATCAACTCAGCATTTCTTGAACGAACGCTGCGTTATCGTAGATAGAATCTTCATTTGCATTTACGTTTCCTGCTGCATCTACATTCGCATACACTTCCTCCTGTGTTGGTGGTTTTTTGATAGACAAAGGCTGTATGTCCTCATAAACATGTTCTGTAACAGTGCAACATACATGGGATGGAAATTAAGTTTAAAAGTTAAAGAAGTTACACAGGCTTCGAATTTAAAACACTATTTTGGTACGTTGCAGAAAATTATTTCGAATGACTATAGATATCACAAACAGGGTTAACTACCTTTTATCAGTAATCCCCAGATGAATAACAATATGTCAAATACCCCTACTCAAAACTCCATATAAATTACCCCCCGTATACAATCCTTGCAATACAGAGTATCTGTAATGTAAAATACTGATGATTTTATAGAGTGATTGAAAAGACCCACCTAGTACGAAATCAAATAAATCGCATCCGTTAAACATACCAACCCTAAACCTAGATTGTGAGAGCTACGTTCAACGTTAGGATTAGTGTACATGTTTAATCTACAGTAGGTAACGTACTACTATACATATTTGAGTAGGGGGTATTAGACAGTCAAGTAATTAACGATGGTGTGGTTGGGGAATTTGTTGCACACAAAAACAGGTCAGTCTTGATCAATGGCTTTAAACTACTAGCGTTTACTGCGCTCATGCTAGCAGACGCAATATTTACACTGATGTCTTACCAACACAATTCAGTATTACATGTCAAATTGTTATGCGACATATCGGTCGTTGACTCCGATTTCAGCCTGCTTTTCTTTTTGGATTTGCTTCCATGAACCTTATCCCACCCAGAACAAACTGCAAGAAATGGTCTCTCCTAGAAAAGTTAACGAATCTCATCCGCCCGGGGACTCGAACTCGAACTCGAGACCATGAGCTTTACCGACTCGACCAAGTCGACATCGACCAACCAGTGTAGTGTCGTATGTATTTCAAATGTCGAACTACATACTCTTGACGTAAGGTTATGCTCGCTACACCACGCAGTAACTGAAAGACTAACCAATTTAAGATGCTATGATGGCATACACCAGCGCAGTTTTGGTGGAAGACCGCACCTTTCAAATACAACTTACCTTCAGATCCTATAGGTGGGTAAACATATGTGTTTCGTGAGCGGGATGTTGAGGCGACAGGTCCATCAGTACATACACTGTGAAATATTGTCCGTGCGGTTTGTACAATTATAACACACATTTTATTATTTCGTTAGTTCCATATCATCTAAGCAAGTTCAAATTTATTTGCTTAAGGTATATTTGTTTATCTTTCAACCCATCGTATTAGATTAGATGCATTATTTTTTTCTGTTCTTTTTAATTAATTCTGATTTCAAACCGGGCTCTAACAGTTGCATAATCCTACACCGTTGCACTAAACCAAACAGAATATTAAAAAAAACCACGGTTGTGAACTCACTGACACCAGTGAGGACAAACAAGCAAGTCGTTCAACATACACGACTATAAATAACAAACATTTCACATAACGACTAAATGAAACAAAATCTTGAGCTACTATCTACGATATATTTATATAGGCCTACTAACTAAACTGCCAACCATAAAGGTCTGCATTGATATCACAACCTAGAATACAATAAAAAGAAACGATCTACACAGAAACTACGCTCACTTTATTGTGTACAACGTAAATACTGGGGTAGAACTTTTAGTTACGCTTCCAACTGTCTGTATGTACTAACAAACAATGAAGATAAACGGAACGACCATCACGGGACGAAAACTAAAAACATTAGTAGAGGATAGGAGCCCTTGCACAGGTTAACAAGTACAGTATTAAAGCACGCACGCATATTTACACCAGTACTTCAAACTTGATATGATAATTACACTTAGTGTTTTATAAAAAAAAAAAAAACTACATGAAATGCTATGAATGTTTGTTCAGTCTAAATTACTAAAGAACAGCATAGACTACCTGACATAAAGCAATAGTGGGATCTAAACTAATTCTTACATTTCTAGAGCTTTTGGCACTTACGGATTTTGAGTTGTAGTCATAGCAAGAACACAAACGTCCATCTGCTGTATGGGTTTAGTATGTTTTCTCCGTCTGATGACGACAATGACCACCACGATAATGACAATAAGCGCCAACGCTCCGGCGGTTGCTCCTGCTACTAATCCAACGTTGAACTCACCTGGAAAATACGAAAGTATTCGCAAAATCAAAGATATTCCTTCCCTCTTCAAACGTAAGTTATAGCTCCTGCCTGGCTATTCTTTTTTCACATTCTCGTATACAGAGTATAGAGAAATCATTGTAATCGTGCAGAAAAAAAAATAAAAAATATTGTCTATGTCCCGAGTTACCTTCCCCCGTAGTGTTATATAACAATATTCGAAAAAGTTTAAGGGAGATCACTCCCGGTTTATTGTATTACACATTTCACCATCGGATTTTCTGTACCATCGGATTTTCAATGCTACTGTATAATTTATTATTTTGTGTTGGCAAATAGGTGAGATATGTTTTACGCCTATAAAAATACTGTCTGAAAGGCTCGGAAGATTGTAATCGGCTCTTTAAATAGTGCTTCTCTACAATTTTTGTATTATGAGTGGCATAGTTCGATGAGATACAAATGGCTGGAAGGATTGAATTTTTTTAGTCAAATGTAATGTACAATGCATTACTTAATCGGAAATAACATTTTGCAAATAATTCCTGATTATTTGTTCTTGTAAATTTAAAAAAAAGTATTTCGTAATATAGTTATTTAAAAAAAAAATTCTTGCATTTATATTGAGAGGTAATTTAAAGTTATTTAGTTTTAAGTTAACTAGTTTTGTCGCAATAATAGTATATTTGATATATCTATATTAAACTAAAATAAATTGGTTATTTGGCTAGAAAAATGAAAGTTTTTTTAATTATCATAGTATAGACCAGCACATACAACATAAATTTCATCTTTTCTTTTATATATTAAAAAGTATACTAAACTAATTAACAAAACCATCTACTATACAATTTGTATACAGTTAAAAGAGTTGTAAAAGCGTATAACGTACTATCTACATGTGTTGTTTTAAAAACGCCAGCCACCTCATTACTTTCATCACCGATATCATTAACAGCCGTGATGCTGTATTCGTACTCAGTGTCAGCATTTAGATCAGTCAGGTTAATTTCTGGAAAGCTCGATGTATAGTTTAGATCTAGTAATCCATGTTTTTCTTCCAAAGAAAACTTGTAGAAATGTACTCTGCCTACAGATGGTTGAAATCTTATGATGTAAGGTGGTTTATCCAATTTGCTTGTTGTTGTATTCACAAGACCCGGTGTGGCTGGAACTGAAGGTAATAAGAAAAATATAATTACACAACTGAACTATAACTTCATATTAGTAAACGTGAACATTGATTTGAGTCCAATGCATGTGCTTTTTTATTTCTTTATAATATGCGGTACAGGCCAAAATTTCTTTGCAATTGTTTCATTATTTGGAGCTTGTTAGAAATATCAACAACTTAAGTTTATTCTAATAATTCGCTACTTGAAATCTACAAGTATAGAAATAGTCTGTCAGTATATTTTTAAAAACAAAACAAAATGTCATCCCATACACAAAACATTTTCATATTTTAGTATTTCATTTGGCATTCCTTATTTTATAGAATAAACAAAAGAAATTTATGAAACTTAATTTACTTATAATATTATAATATATTATGAAAAAAGTCTCCCAAGACAAATTTAAGATTGCTGACAACTATTAAACCACTCAGATATTATTTATAAGAAATTTACCTAGTATTAAAATAAAAACTCAATAGATAAATTTTTTATTTTTATTTTTTTTATTCTTAATATAATGGAAAATATAGAATCAATCTAAAGTGAGTTTTTGCATTTATTTGTTAAGATGAAACTGACTACGTGTTTTAGACATATTTACTGGTTCAATAATAAAACTAAAATAAACAATGTGATGTTTTGTTTAAAACCAAAACTATAATGCTGTCACAATAAGGTTAAAAAATATAAGCATTGAAATATGATTTAAAAAATAAAATAACAAATAATGTGAAGTTCTACTCACAAGTCACAATGTTGACTGTAGTGCTAACGTTTCTGACAGTATAAAATCCCTGCTTCTGAAGGAACGTGTAGACCGTGATTGTGTAGCTGGTACCTGGTGTTAGACCAGTCACCGTCACACCGCTCTCATTGGCGGCTTGTGTTCCTCTATCTGTTTCATCACTGGCCGACACCCACGACACACCGTACGTTCTATTAGGTCCAAGTGTAGTGGCTTCCCATTGTAGCTCAGCTCCAGTTGTGCTCTTGTTCTTGGTTTGTGGGTAGTGTACTTTAAATTTGGAGGCTAAAACATGCAGTAAATAAAACAAATTTTTATTGTTATTAGGTTGTATTCATACATTTTTGCTGTTGTATATTAAACAAATTAACATTGTATATTGATATACGTTCTTTTCTTGTATTGCATTAAAGGTAAAACTACAGCTAATTTTGAAGAAGATTTATTTTAAAAATAAATTAAATAATAACGCTAATATGAGGATTAAACTATAATTTCTAGCAATATTGCGTTTAAGCCTGTAGGGCATACATAATAATATTACATATACATATCAGAAGAAGTAAACCATATTTGTATGTAGTATATGTCAGTTTAGTTGTGTGTTTGTATTTTAAAACATTTTCGTTCTATATTTAATAAAAACAAAAAGATCAATTTGCTCTACCGCTTTATTTTTTTAATATTAAGTAACACCCAAATTAAACTTAAATAACTTACAAGAAACGCAAGCGTTGTTCTCAAAATGAAACGAATCTTTGCACAAACATCGATGGTTTCCAACATCGGGGAGACAATCCATATAATTCCTTGTTCTACACATACCAGGAATGCTGCTGTTGCAGTAAACATTATGATCTAAAGCTAAAGAATTCAGATGTATTATGAAAGACCAACCAAAAGAAAAAAAATAATTAAATATGAAACATACTTTTATGGAAATAATGGATTTAAAAATGTGTGTCTGTATACATTAGGATCTACTAGTATTTACTAATTAGAAATTGACTTGCCTTATGTGATTTAAGAACAGGTTAATATTTTTTTTGTAAATCTCTATATAAAAAAACCAAGTGTTTAATGACGAATTACAAGATAATTTCGTTTTTTTTAATACCCTAAGGATCATGATATTCAGTCTTTATTGATTATTAATTAAAGTAAATGACATAAACTTTCAAATTTTGTATTGTACTCGACGCTTATGACAACTGCAATGACGATGCGGGGATTACCCCGACCTCTGTCAACATCTGGTATGCGGATGCGACCAGTATCTCCCACTTTAGCTTGTTTAAAATTTGTATCTGATTTTTTAAGCGTTTTGGCACCTTGCGTTTGTAAGCTAGTATGAGCTGCTGACCTGTTGTCCATGTTTTTTGGTTATTGTGACATAATCTGCAAGTTATGTTCCCTTCGTTTTTTTCGTCAATTTCTATAGCTTTTCCGCAAATTGCGTGGTCATCGTTGCCACAGGATCAACAAGAATGGGCTGCACTACAATGTTTTTCACAAACTACACAGACTCTGCTGGCCATATTATATTCACGCAACTGGTCTGGACGTTCCGCCACGGCAACATAATATGTGTTAACTGAGGATGTCGTTGCCTTATGGCAACCTCCATTACTTGTTCAATGTTCTCAAGATCTTCCTCAGTAACTAAATTATCGAGTCTCTCTTGGTAGATTTGAAGTGCTAAGTTCCATTTTTTGCTTTGCATCCAAACAAGGCTTCGTTCTTGAATGAATTTGAGACACTCAGCCCATTGAGCTGATTCATTTGTCTGCATCCGTGTCGTCGTCATATTTTGAACATCTTGGTTCTATATAATGTTTTAATAACTTTTAATTCGCGCGAAATAAGAAGACATGGTTAATAAGATTTGCTAACGCCAACGCATGGTAACAATACTTCAACCACGTTTACTGCCCACATTTAACACGATCCTTACAAAATAGGATCTAGATAAAAGGCATACACAATACAAAGGCCGTCATAGACGCAAAGCGTCAACAATAACTTACCCCATCCCCCGGTACTATGCGGGGTGAGGGGTGGGACGGAGGGAGGAGGGAGTTTTTAGCTTTTGGCTTGCGTCAATTTTGAACTGATAAAAAAGTGAATAATTTCTAGCGACCTATCATACTATTACAATTGAGAAACTTACTAAAATTACACCTAGCGTCACTAGGACTGTAGTAGTAGTCCTGATCACAGGAGCACGTGCCATACAAACACTGCAAGTTATTCCTACATTGTAGTGTTTCCACACATTTCTCCTTGAAAGAAAGTTCTGTTCAGCAAATAAAAAAGTAGAATTTAATAGAAAAATGTACAATAGCAAGCTTCTAAATTTGAACTTGAAATAACAAATAAGCATTCTTAAAAAAATAACAATTCGCCACTATTTAAGTAAACTAAAATGAGTGGAACGCTTATAACATTCTAGTAATTGTATTCAATTCCTTATATAGCGACTGACTTTTTTCTTTATAATGGTATGTAATATAAATGGTGTTAACTATGGTATTACAATTTAAAATGTTTTTTAAATTTTCTTATTTTTATTGCATATTAATAAGTTTGTTATCATAAAAGTTTTGAAACATATTACATTATTTTCCTAATAAAAACGAATGGAATAATTTTAAATAAATTGTTTCGCGTCAACGCGAATTTTGTGTGAATAGCACTTTAGGATATATAAACTTTAATCACAAAAACACAATTAATGCATGATTTATTCAATTATATTAATGCTTTTGTCTTACACCATCGTCAACAAATTATTGATACATTTTGCAAAATTGAAGGAAATTTCTTTCGCATAAGTGTGTGATTTTTCATTTGCAAATTTCGACCAATAACGGATGAAGCATTAAGCACAGACGAGGAATCAAGTTAAAGTAAGTTAAAGAAAGTTTTTAAAAAGTCATGAATAAAAAAATCAGTTATGTTATTTTGCTGAGAGAAAAAATAATAAAACACATTTTAATATTAGTATTTTCTAAATTTTTGCTTTTTTTATACAGATGAAAAAAAGCTTGAAATACACATTTATTAGTCGCCTTCAGAAAAAATATATAGACATATTCTGGAAAAAAAAAAATTCTTTTAGAGTCGACAATCATATGGATACAATGTTTAATTATAGTTAACACCGTTTAAAATTAAATTTCTTTTTACAACCGGGACTGTTTCTAGCTATTTTGTTAGCGTAATTTAAAATTACATACATAAATAACCATATCAGAGTGCTTACAATTCATTGAAACTACTCCGTGTTGAAGTAAGGCAGACATTTAATAGAAAGTGTTGAGTTGTTTGGAAATGAGAAGTTTAAAAACAAATTAGAAAGATACAAATGGTTAACTAAACAATGCATTGTGACATGTTTCGACACATTATTGTACATACAATAAAGTAGTCCTAATGAGCTGTTTCAAATGGTCAAAAGGTTCAAGTCAGCATATTTTAGACATGGTCGCAATGTAGAATGTTCTGCTAACGAATTCTGGACTTTATTTTTACCTATTTTGCGATCTACCAAGCTGTGTTTAAAATATTCAGTCGAGAATAATTATTTTTATTTTTTATTTTTTTAATAATTTAATATTTTTCGATCTCATTTCCCCAGTAGTAATATCAAAAGTCAATAGTTTTAAATGACTTACTTTTGTGACAGCTAAGTGTAGAACTGTTGTGATATGTGTCATTTGGACAACTACAGTGGCCACTAACACAAGTCAAATAACTTCGGCACTGGTCCACTAGGGAACAGGGTCTGTCATACGATATATCTGATGGAAATATAGTAACGAATTAAATGAATGCATACAAATATATAATTTTCAATGTATGTATGTATAACACAGTCGTCGTTGGTGAAACGTGCAATCTTTCAATAATTCACAAGTATGACGTTAACTAATTCAAGATTTAGATTTTAATAATCGAAAATGTAATTAACAATAAGACAGCCATTTTTTTAAAAAAAAATGTTAAATATATTAAATGGTTGTTATTTGAATTTGGCTTCCTTTTCTAAAATAAAAGCTTGCAATTATATGCTTCATGTGTAATACAACTAATACGTTTGTGAGTAATAGGTTTTTTCTTAAAGTTGTGTATACAAAAATAGAGCTACAACATCAGAATCGTTTTATGTAAAATAGCTCGTATCTGCTGCAATAAGAAAGTGTTTTAAATTGTGTTCATGTTTCGTCGATGCAATTCAATATAATCATTGAATGTATATATATATCAGGGGTACATTAAGCAAACTATAACAGAGCACACTTTAATATCTCACAATCCTTACCTTTAATAACATAGTTTAGCTTAAATCCTCTGTAAGACACAGGGTTAATAAGCCCTGATGTTATAAAGGCGATTAAGACGAAGTTGCTTGATGAGGTGGCAGAAAATACAGGTACTTGACCACATATTGGGAGATTTAGATTCTCTCGTGTGTTTTGGCCATCGTATGCGACAAGAAAGGCGGACTCACACGGCGAAACATCAAAGTCTGTGATGCTAAAATGAACATACATACACACAAATATGTATATATATATATATATATATATATATATATATATATTTATTTATACATATATATATATATGTATATATATGTATATATATAAATTATATATATATATATATATATATATATATATATATATATATATATAATACAGATTGCACATACACAATGCTCATATATTTAAAAGTAAAATTTAAAAACAAATATGTATATCTTTTATATATTGAATCACAACATAAAGCAATTTAAATGCTTGAAAGTATTTTTCATAGTTTTTCATTTCCTGTTCGTGCCCAAGACACATGGGCAGATAAAGCAGAATTCATCTGCTTCAGAGATCTCGGCATATGAAGGGATATAGTAAGTTAGGTACCCATTTGAGCTGGATGAATTCAAGGACGTTCATATGATATGGAGGGACGGAGTGTTCTAGCGGTAGAGTGCTAGACTGCTAACCCGTAAGTCTCGTGGTCGAATCCGGGTTCAAGTCAGTATAGCGTCCCTGAGTCCACCTAACTCTGATGGGTACCTAACTCATGTTAGGGAAAGTAAAGGCGGCTGGGCATAGTGCTGAACACACTATCTCTTCATATGCCGAGGTCAAAGAAACAAGTGAACTCTACTTCACTTGCCGTATAGGTTTGAAAAGGGAATTTTACTTTTTTACTTTCTGATATGAACCCGGATTCGAACACGAGACTCTCGTGTTAGCAGTTTAGCAGCTTGAGAATAAAAGATGTAAAACACTTCTTAATAAAAGTAAATTTTTACTTTAAAAATATCCTAGTTCCAGCCTCCCCTTCAATTCTCCAGGAACAAGTCGAGTTTTTGTTGTAACCATTGGGATATCCAGAGCTAGTGATTACACCATGTAGTCCATATACAATGTTCAAACAAGCTGACAGATGGAAAATTGAAGGAACATTAACGAGTATTATCAAACTTTAAATGGGTAATTTAATTGGGTATCATCGCAATTTACATTTGATAATCGGAGAATTAAACTTGTAAGTTTTTTCATTTTTTTTTCTGCATTCACTGATTATTCACTGAGTATTATGCTAAGTTAAGCTGCGTAGCCTACATAAAAATATTTTCTTCGCTTCTATGTTGAACTCTAAAATCATCCAGAACATGAAAATATCAATGTAAAAAGAATGTAGTAAAATAGTTGTACAGAATATCTTCTCAAGGAGATCGAAATAGGTTTTATTCAAAACACTGTGTGTCATATAAACACATGCATGATTAACTCTAGAATAGAAAAGAGGTACTAGTAAAGTTACCTTGTGTATAGTAGTTACCGTAAAACCCTTGATAAGTCGTTGAACTATCAGTTCTAAACACGACGTGCATGTAGTTGGATGAAGATACAACATAGACTGGTGAACTGCTATAGCAGTACCGTCCTAATGATACACCACTGGTGCTCTGTCCGTCGTAGACTTGGATGATGTGGTTGGAACAGGAAGATGTGGGGCTACTCACATTTACGGTAGTTATGCTGTGGAGTAGACGAATGGAATACCGGTATAAGAGATACAATATTTACCCTAGAAACGACGTCAATTGCAGATTATTTCGATGACTACTGTCACAACGTAAAGATGGGGACAAACATTTAATCCAAATTTAATATGTAATAATTTTACATGCATGCAGAATAACTATATGCAAAAAACAAACAACGCAGTTGAAGACTAGCACTGAAGAGGTCCAGTCAAATATGGAATATTACCTTCCCAATATTTGTAAATTCATTGACTTTATAAAAAAGGAGCAAAACTCCAAGATGTAAAGGATGCTGTTTACCAAAACGCACAACACATATATTGATATCAGCGCTCAAATTACAACTGATGTTCAAGGTTTCATTACTTGACCATTTTAGTGCTTGAAAGGCATAGATCAAAATTACTGGATTTTTTTTTCTAATGATAATTAATTAAAACTTTAAAATCATAATATGTTGATTGTATTCTTAATGTTTACTTTACTTTTTTATTCTTATGTTTTCTTTGCTTTTAATTATAATTTTGTTTCTCAGCATTATAAGTATTTCCTTAAATAAACCTAAATCGGGGTGAAGGGTATTGTCCGGGGGGGGGGGGGGGGGGTGTGGGGTTTACGTTGCGGGGATTTGGCCTATTAAAAACAAATGCACACAAAAACTTTTTAATAACAAGCTTCTATGTAATAATGCAATAAAATGGAGAAAATACTTTATTTTCTTTAATTATAAAATAATACACTATTAGTTAAATAGCTACAAAAAAACTCATTTCACTATATTAACTATTGGATACCTTCATCAAACTTTTCTTTATAGATATTAGTTATAGTGCATAGCTATTTATCGTTATTAGTGCATTATTATATAATATTAAAAGGGGTAATCTATTTATGAATCCACACGGGGGGGGGGGGGGGGGGGGGAATTGACCGAGACGATTTTCTAAAATAATTCTTGGTATTTCAAGTTCATTTTTAAACATTTCAAAATAATCACAGTAGGCCTAAATTAATTATTTTGTGTCAAAAACTAAAATAATGGAGATTTAGTCAAGTTTTAATGTAAACAAAAATCCAAAATAACTACTTTTCAATTTAGATATTTATCAGCGCGTGTACGATGTGCTCGCTTGGTCAGGTGTGTATGGCTAACGATCAGCGGAAAACACAAAAAGGGGAAAGGTGGTTGATTAGCCCATTTATCCTAACCTATATAGTCGCTATAGAAAAAAAAAGTTTTTATGACAGCTTGCAATCTCTCACTCTTATGAAAAATAGTGGGTTAGTAAGAGCCTTTAAAATTGAGAGGTATGCGCGATCATTATTTCAATTAAGAACAATTTTAGATAGTCTTATCACATTCACACAACCACAGTAAATTTGCACGCTGTAGACTTACGGAAATATTTGAAAAGTTGGAACTCCCTTTTATTTAAGCATTTAATAGATGTTACCAAAAATACTAAATCCCTATATAACATTCTCAGTTAATAATATAGAAGTATAGAGGAAATCTCACAATCGTGCAAAAATTCGAAATCAAAGTTTTTAAATTCTGTATCAACTTTTAGCGATTTCCGGTAACCGGAAGTTGAACTTATTATACTTTTGATTTTTCAAAAGCCCATAACTTGAGTACTTTTTTATATACATTAACGAAATTTCACATATGAGTAAAACAAAATCTAATTCTCTTCCTTATGTCAAATTATGAGTATTTTTCGTTGATCGGAAGTAGTACTTAACGCTATTTTTGATGTTTCAAAAAACGCATATGAATTTTGAAGTATTAATATTCCGCACTAGTATACACACATTGTTTACTTGGTGCGCAATTCTTTTTCTATGACATTCTATTTTTAAAAAGTTTAAGTAATTAAAAATTAATTAAAAATCGAGCTTACATCCCTAGTCGCCATCCCCCTTTTGCAAGTCTCACAATTGTAAAAAAAAAGATTGCTTAATTATATAGTAGAAAGTCGTTAATTACAGCCTTGGATGTCATAATACAAATAATTACTGATTACAGATAGTTCTAGATAACACGAAAATAAAAATATATTCCAGAAGGAAAGGAAAACTAGATAGTTAAAAAAAGCTGTTAATTATCTCAACATACTTGAGTACAACAAACGTCCCAGAATTTCCTTGTATTGTCCACGTGTAGATTTGATTATAGAGAAAATACGTAGGAAAACCTGGGCTGATTATATATCCGGTTGGTACTGTTAGTGTTGATGGTGTACCTTAAAAAACATACCATCCATTCATTGCAAAAAAACTGTGAATTAAATATCTATAATTTGCATATACTAATGCTGTGATTTTGCCATTTAACAAATTTAATTGGACATTTTATTACAATATTACTAATTGTTAAGTTATTTGAAATGATTCAATTAAGATAATAGTTAAACTAGTGCATGACATATATTTTCAACAAATACATAATCAACAAGTAAACTAAATAAACAAAATGAAAATATTTATTGTCAACGGTAAGTGTGCAAAATTTAAAATTTAAATATACTGCTATTTGTATTTGCACAATCCAAAGTTAAATAGTATATTTCACAGAACTGTGAATAAATTCAGCTTTCTGACATTATTAAACATTTTCCAGAATGCTATATTTATAGAAGAGTAAATAAAATCACAGATATCTTTTAAAATACTAACTTTGGGTGTTATAGGAAGCATTGAAGCCTTTGTACGTATTGTAGCTATCAGTCCTAAACACAATGTACATGTAATTTGATGTAGAGGCGATCAGACCAGGCACAACGTTACCACTCAGTGTAGCCAACTGTCTGGAGCTATTAGAGGACCCATCAAAGACTTGAAGATAGTCATTACTGCAGTTTGTCGTTACTGGGCCCAAGTCAAATGATGTTATACTGAAGTTAAGCATTATTTTTCTTGTTAAATGAAGTTTTACCGCGATCACAATTTTTTTTAAAAAGTGTATGTTGCTTTAAAGCATATTTAGATATCAAATTTTAAACTAAAAAATGTAATATGTGTAACACTTGCTTTAAAACTATAAACGTCCCATAAGCTCCATCAATTCTCCAAGTGATGTAACTGTTATTGAAATAACCATAAGGAAACGCTGGGCTAATAATAAATCCTTGTGACCCAGAAAGGATATTTGACGTGGCTATAAGGTGAAAAAATACAATATATACATATATATTATAGAATAAATATACATATATTTATATATAAATTTGGGAAGTTGTTAAGAAAACTCATGAGGAGGTATTTGCAAAAAAATCGAATGTACAGATGTAGTGCCCCGGCAGGTCACGATCTGATTCTTCTAGATTTACGGTCTATAAACAATAAGTCGATTGCGGTTTGACACCGTTCATCCGACCGCCAAGAAATTTTAGGAAGATGTTGAAAGCACTCTTGGTGAGGTTCCCGGTAGAGTATTATTTTTGGCCCAGCGCTATTCCGTGAGCGCTATGGCACCTACGTTTATTTTATACAATGCAATATACTATGTATACTATTGGGCGTTATAGTCTTTCACTAAACTGAATTAATCACGTTAGGATGCGATTATGCACTGAGAGCCATTCGTTTAGCCATGTTGCATACGTTCGTTTTAAATAGTGTGATACAATATGGATAAAAATTAATTTTATACTCATTCACTCAATTCAATCAGTTGCGTTTGCACATAAGTTCATTTACGTAGAGGAAAAAACTAATGATTTATTATCGGGAATGATATTTACAGTAAGCCTATTCTTAATACTTTTCTAAAATTAATTTTTTAATACGATATTTAATGTATTTCTATTACAAAGACACACATTGCTGATAAATCATGATAACTATTAATAAATACTACTCACCGTAGGTATAATAAAAAGCATTGAATCCCCTATACGTATTGTAGCTATCAGTCCTAAACACAATGTACATGTAATTTGATGTAGAGGCGATCAGACCAGGCACAACGTTACCACACAGTGTAGCCAACTGTCTGGAGCTATTAGAGGACCCATCAAAGACTTGAAGATAGTCATTACTGCAGGTTGTCGTTACTGGGCCCAAGTCAAATGATGTTATGCTGAAAAAATATATTGTTCATGTTTAATAATTACTTAATGCGATAAAAAAACACTCAAAATCTGTATATTGCTTTACAGCATATTTAGATTACAAATTTTAAATTAGTGTAATCTGCACAACACTTGCTTTAAGACTATAAACGTCCCATTAGCTCCATCAATTCTCCAAGTGATGTAACTGTTATTGAGATAACCAAAAGGAAACACTGGGCTAATAATAAATCCTTGTGATCCAGAAACGATATTAGACGTAGCTGTAA